GGCACGCCGCCGAGGACACGGCGATTTCACAACCAGTGGAGGAGCAAGCGGCAGTGGAGGACCGGCCCCACCGCTTTCGGGAGGAGGCGTACAGCAGCCCCCGCCGCTGCCACCGCCAGCGGAGCCGCCGCCGCCACCGGCGGCCGTCGACCCGCCGGCGCCAGCCTCAGACTCAGGCGACGCCGCCGCTCCTGCAGCGCCACTTCCGCCGCTGCTGCCGCAGATATTCGGCCTCCTGAACCTTGATCCTGCCCCTCAGGGCCCGGTCGACGACGACATCGAGTCCCATGGCTCGGACATGATTCGAGAATGGGCCAAGATTGCGGAGGGGCAGGCGCGCCAGGAGACGATGTCGCGGCGCCCGCCGGACACCGAGAACCAGCGCGGCACAGAGACGCAGCGCCAAGTTCAACAGGAGCACGCACCGGCGGCGCTGCAACGCGACCGCCAGCGCGAGCACGAACCCCGCGAGTGCGCTGCCAAGCGCAAGGATCTCTTGGACGATCTGCCCAGGTGCTTCAAGAGGCCGAAGGACACGAACAAGGTCAACCTCTAGACAACTACTTCCAGAAGCACGCGGACGAGCTCTACGCAAGCACACGACTCCGCGAGGCATTTCTCACGGGCAACGCGACCGCAAGGGAGTTGTAGTACGACGCGCTGAGCGCCACCGAGAAGAAGAACATGGACGCCGCCATGAACGCCGAGTGGTCCAAGTGGACGGAGTTCGGCGCCTACAAGAAGCTCCCGCCCATGGAGCTGGAGGAGCTCCTACGGTGCAACCCTGGCATCCGCCCTGTGGGCACGCGCTGGGTGCTGACCAGCAAGGGCCTGCACATCATGACGGCGCGCCTGGTCGCGCAGGGTTGCCAGGAGGACAGGTCGCAGATCAGGGCGGACGCGCCTGCAGGGTCTGGGGGCGCGCTGTGCCTGACCCTGGCCGCCGCGGCCCAGAAGGACTGGGACATCTCGTCCTACGACGCGATGACGGCCTACCTGCAGTCGGGTAACATGGAGAGGCTACTGCTCCTGCGCATGCCGGCCAAGAACCCGCCGCCGGGGACCCGGCCTGGCGAGATCGCGATGGCCACAGGCGCGATCTACGGGACGCGCGACGCCGGGAGGCAGCGGTACCTCTATGCGCAGAAGGTCTTCGCCGAGCATGGCCTCGCAGTGAGCAGGCTCGAGAAGGGCCTCTACTACTTCTATGACGAAGGTGGGCTCGCCGCGGCGGTCGTCCACTCGCATGTGGATGACTTCCTTATCGCCCAGCGCAACAACTCCACCAAGTGAAAGGCCAGTATCACATCGCTGGGGAAGAAGCTACACCTCAAGCCAGTCGAAGGGGCCATCAAGTACTGCGGACGTGCGATTACCAAGCTCGACGACGAGTTCCGCGTGACCCAAGCCACCGCTGCCGCGCAGGTGGACTACGTCGACTTGAAGGCCGGGAGGGGCCGAGGTGCTGAGGACCGACTCACCGCCACCGAGGTGACGAGCTACCGCCACGCGCTCGGGCAGCTGTTGTGGCTAGCAGTGCAGACCCGGGTGGGCATCGCCTGCCCGGTGAGCTTTGCAGCTCGACGCACAAACGTCGCTACCGTGGCCTCAACAAGACACTCGCAGATGTGCACTCCACTGCGATTTCGCGATCGTGCTCATGCGCAAGCTCGTCGACCTGAAGTCGGCGATCACCGCGTGCTTTAGCGACGCCGCGTTCGCCAACGTGGACGGCGTCAAGAGCCAGTGGGGCACGGTGATGGGGCTCACCCATCGCCCGCGTGACGTCGTCGGCGGCCAGTGCGACCTGTGCCTGCCCGTCGCCTGGCACTCTGGCACAGTTAAGAGGTCGGTGAAGTCGACCCTCACTGCCGAGGGCTACGCTACCCTCGATGGGGTCGGAGACCAACATGTGGTTCCGACAGCTGCTGACCGAGGCCTACAACCCCAAGACGGCGCTCAAGCAGATCGACGTGCTCGCCGACAAGCACCCTGGCGAGATCTACAGCGACAGCAAGGGTCTCGTGACGCACATCGCTTCAGATGCGGGCCAGTCCACTGACAAGCGGTCCCGCATCGTCGCCTCCATGATCAAGGAGGCCGCGCACCCCAAAAGTGCGCTCAAGCTCAGCTGGATCCCGACCTGGGCCATGGTCGCAGACGCCTTGGCGAAGACGATGGAGGCTGGCGTCCTGCTGTCGTTCTTCGGGGCTCGCAAACATACCTATGGGACCTGGCAGCCACGCGCTATGCTCGCATCGGTCCTGTTCGCCTGCCTTGGCAAGGTCAAGGGACAGCCTACGCCCGCGCCGACTATGCCGGTCTACAACTTCTATATTGGCCTGTTGACGTTCACGCTGGTCCTCGGCAGCATTATCGGCTTCGGCATCTTTATGACGCTCTGGACGATCCCGAGGCAGAACAACGCGATCGCCAACGAGGAGAGCGCCGCCGAGGCGAAGGCCATGGGTGAGCACTCTGCATGGGACGGCCGCATGCTCGGCCGACGCCGCAACATACCACCCACGATCCCAGAGGATCGTGATCACGATGGTGACATCACGATGTCCCACGCGGATGTATTCAGCAGCGCACAGGCATCAAGTTCAGTAGCATCGGCTGCGATTCAGCAGCCGCCGCCGCCACAGGTACCGGCAGAACCACCGCCGGCCAGCGCGCCGTCATCACCGTACACTGCAGCATCAGCACGGGGACCTGGACGATCAAGATCAGTAAAGTCGCAGGGAAGTTCGGCCCCTGCGTAACCAACCGTGGTTTCCGTGACGAGTTCATCGAGTTCCGTTTCAGCCTCATCAGCCAATGTTGTGTCGTGGAGTGGATATTCCCCGACGGTGCCCCAGTGACATGATTAGTTGCGTGACTGGCGCTCCTCATCATGATGTGGTCATCGGCCACAACCCGCATAGTGTATACATCACTGGCAAGACCTTCAAGAAACACGCTTCGTGGCTGCTTCGGCATTATCATTTCGGAAATCCCGATTTCACGATCTTCCCTGAGAGTGTGATGAATGACCTCAGGGGCCGCTGGTGGACGCCCACAGGCAGAGATGCTTGGCGAGGATCCGATCTAGCGGACAAGCCGGCGAAGCCGAAGAAAAAGTAACCCCCGCTTGGTTTGACGGCAGTTTGGCCGATCAGACCGGAAATGTTCTACTGTCAATACTATACACCCGGTCAAGATTTAAGTATTCCGCATCGTTGCCAATACCACACGCCCAGTCAAGAGTTATGTATTCCGAATCGCAGCTTTTTACACCCGGATAAATATCCACACGTAACACCGTGTTTTCTGGCAGTTTGATTCGTTTCAGTGCGTACAGATTTTGCTGTGATGACGATCGCACTTAGTATCTTGAGAAGATGGCTGTATTATTTTTGGGTTTTGTCGCATCGCGATCGAACCCTGGCCGCTGCTGAGTATTCCTTGTATTGTATGCTATGGTATACAATAATACAAGCCGTTTGCTTGCTTATCTCCGTGGTTTTTGCTGGCGAGTGATTTGTTTGCTATAGTCCCCGCTCAGGCTTGTCAGAGGCCACGACCCACCGAGATGGCGACTAGGAGGAGTGTGATTCAAGTTCACTCCCGAAGGATTTTGTGATTCATCCCTTGCCCATCGCTGCCGTTTTATTTCGAGCTGGGGCCCTTGGCCTTAGATCTACGCCCCTCGCGAGGCCGCGAGTAAGAAAATCCATCGACAATCTTCCATATCACAGGTTCAGGTTGTTAGGATTATGGTGTCCGGGTGAAGGTGTTCGGGTCAGGATGGTAACATTATGGTGTCAGCTGTGTTGCGCTTAGCCTTGGAGTGGGGGTATCAAGGTTGAGGTTCTGTGTTGCTGTGAGGGTTCGGATGCTCAGGTCACGTTGCTGAGGTTCGGGTTAATTCCCAATCAGTGCTTGCACTGAGGGGGTCCTAGCGGAGGTTGACAGATTTTGCGACAGTTCCAAGCCGATTTTGGTGGGCGGCCGGGTTCCCGGTTCCTGGTTCCCCGGTTCCTGGTTGTTGGTTCGGGGCCTGTTTCGGTGGGTTGCGGGGTTCCCGGGTTTCTCGGTTCCCGGTCGATCTTCCCATCGATATTTGCATCGGTCCCACGATCGAATTCGCGATCGATTTCGTGACCGATCGCATTATCCATCCCACCCAATCGATGTCATTATCGATGTCATTATCTAACTCATTATCGATATCATTATTGGGTCCATTCTCGATATCACTAAGGATCGCACTCGATCGGCTTCATTATCGATCTCATCATCGATTTCATTATCGACCTCGCTATCGACCTCACTATCCGGCTCATTATCGGTCGCACTATCGATCTCTCTGTCGATATTGCGATCGATAGGGAGTGCGATCGTTCGATTGTGCGAATCTCCAGATACCTTGCGGCAAATACCACTGCCGCGCCAGCAGAGTCATCTGGGTGTCGGCTGGTCGAACGGTGATGACGATGACAGAGAAGACCCCATCGCGACGAGGATGATGATCAGGATGATGGGAATTGTCATGCTGATGATGGTAATGGGGCTCATGATGCTTATCATCATCATGATGCTGTTGATGAGCTGCGATGCTGATTTCAATGATCACTGGCAAGAGGAATCATAAGGAAAATGCAGTCACATCTGGCACCTCTCGACCTCTTGTCTGGGAGCTCATTCGGGCCGTCCTGGGGTTGTCCTGGGCTCCCGTATAGCAGTCTTGAGACTCAAGTGGGCCGTCTTGGGGCCCTCTTCGCCGTCGGCTCGGTCTCTTCGGGCAGTCGCGGGGCTTTATTGAGGCCGTATTGAGCCATTGACGGGTTTTCTGAGGTCGTCTATCTTGGAAACCCCTGGGCCGTGTCGAACCGACGGGTGCCCCAAAAGGGGAGAATGCCCCGTTGCCAATTTGGCTCAAGATGGCGTTCATCTAATATGTTGCCTTCCCGTTGCTAGAGAATTTCGGTTTTATTGAACTCCTGGTAACCGCTCCAATGGCGGCAGTTGCGGGCAGCATGTGCACGAGTATTACTTTCGGCGGCCGCGCAAGAGCTTTCGTGCTCTGCCTGTGTCTCCTCGGCCCAGCTTCGGCAATGCGGCAGACGGGCATCCGCGACCTCGTCAATGGTGCTGGGGAGAATAGGTCGTTCCAGGACCTGCCCAAAGATTTCGTGGCCACAGACTGGGCACAGTCGAAGCACCTTACGACGCTGCTGAACCTATCGTTGGCGCAGCGTGAGGGCGCCGCCTCAGAGTCTGATGCAGAGTCGGAGGAGGTCGTGGCCGCTGTGCTTGCAGTCACGATGGCAATGGTGTCGATTGTGACGACCGCGTGGGATCTTTGGGAGAAGTGGAACGCGGTAATGATGCTGCAGTATGCTTTGACATCGTTGCGAGATAGCCCCTGGACCCAGAAGGAGCGGTACGAGCGATACGACTCTCTCGCATTGTGCACGGTGGAGCGCATCGACGAGTCCGTGGACACCATGGGTGTCGCGGCGACATACTACCAGCTGCTCTACTACGCGGCAACGCAGTGTGCGCGCCCAGACGTCCACATAAACTGGTTCGCGACCTCGCACCGCTGCACACGCGACTATGCCCAGGAGCGCGTGGAGGAGATGTACGAGCAGGTCTGCAGCCCGCACTACGGCCTGGCCCTGATCGGCACCGTGGACATGCTGCTGGCGAACGACACTGTGGCGGCACCAGATGGCTGCGCCTGCCTCGCTGGCCACGCGTGCGACGGGAAGGCGTGGTGCTGGGTGCCAAAAGGCTCGAATTGCCCCGACGTCCAGTTCAGCCCGACGCGCTGGGGCTACTCGAGCCATACTCCCTGCCTGGCCGAAAGGATGGCTAACCCAGACAAGGCGAGAGCCCTGATGAAGAGCACCTGCACCATCTGCCACCACGGCTTTTACAGCAACGCCGGGATCATCGAGGCGCAGCTCTTCGACGGAACTTTCGGCGAGGGCAGCGAGGTCTCCTTGAGGGACGAGCAGCAGCGGCGGGCCCTGAAGGAGCAGCTCGCGGCGACGCTGCGGAGCGTGCACAACATCAGCGCCGCCCACCTGTCGATCATGCCGGTCGGTGGGCTGGAGGACCCAGATGGGGCACCGCCACCTGATGTTCAGCGCGCGTTTGTGGCTATCCTGCGGTGGGAGGCCCTGATGGCATTCGACAAGCGGTGCAAAGATTTCAAAGACACGCTGCCGACCAGCGAGCGCACGCTGATGACCGGCGAAGATCTGGGGAACGAGAAGATCGCCCGCTTGCTGGTTGATGGTCGTTTGGCGAAGCTCGGCACATCAGTGGGCCGTACAGGTGAGAAGATGATGTATCCTTTGGTTTCGATCTTCAACCGCAGCAAGCAGGCATGGACTGCGCTCTGGAATCACACCTCAGGTCCTACTTCTGGACCTGGGGAATCGCTTCTGCAGGCTGCATACCAACGTCATCGAGTCCACCTTGGCCAGCGGTCAGACCTCTGGGAAGCATCCACCAAGTTCTGCACTGAGGAATCCTTTCTCAAACAGGATTTGCGAGAAAAGGCTGAGGCAGCTGGCCCTGCCATCACACGACTGCAAGAGACTTGCGACGCGGTGCACGATGCAGTTCCAAGGGAGGAAGAGCGATCTAGAACCATGTTGGACAAGGTCGAGACCGGACCCTCGTGCCAGTGCACCGGTCTTGACCACAAGGTGTTCTGCGGGGACGTGCAGGTCGCTATGCGCAAGTTCCTCGTGCGCAACGTCGTCAAGACCGCTGGCTGCCACACGCCGTACTGCGCGCCGGAGGCGCGCGCGCTCGCCGTCCGGGCGAGGTTTCTCAGGTGTGGTGTTGTGGCGGGAGCCGTCGGCAGGTGGTCCAGGTGGTTCCGCAGTGCGGGGTGCAAGTGCCAGCGCCCAGACCACGTGGTCTTCTGCGGCGGCGCCCAGGTGGCGGGTCGGAAGTTCAGCCTGGAGGGGGACATATTGGCGAACGCAACGTGTCAGGCGCCGTATTGCGCAGCAGCACCGGGCAGGCCAGCATCGGCGGGCCTGGCACAGGGCGACTCTCTGGCGCAGCTGTCCCGGGTGCACTCCGCAGCTGTCGCTGGGACAGACCCGTGGTCTGTCCTCTTGTGGGTCCCACTGCAGCTGGCACAATTGATGAAGATATCTGCCCAGGGGGCCCTCGATAAGGGCATGGCGCTCTGGTGGTTTGCCTTCAACAACGTGTACGGCGCCTTCGGCACGGTGGAGGCAGTGAACATCCTCATGAAGGGAACGAAGTTGGTGGACAAGTTCGCGCAGTGGACAGGAATTGTGACGTTCTTCATCTGGCTTATCAACGATGCCATTTTCACTGGTGTGAACGTCCACATGTGCCCGAAGATCACACAGTGGATTGAGCTTATGGACGACGTCCGCCCTGCTCTTGACGACGAAGCCCAAGAAAGCCTGACAAAGACAGAGTCAACCCTGAAGCGCAGGAAGACGCAGAAACATATGTGGTGCAATCGCAGCGTGGGTGATGTCCGTAAGGAGTTGGTCACTGAGATTGCTGAGAGATCGACGGCGGTGCGCCGCTTGCGCGAGTTGCACTACAGCACGGCGCTCGGATGGGAACTGCATGACCCTAGATCTCTCGCGTCCCCGGATGATGATATGGCAGAGTTGTTACAGCGGCACGAAAATGTTACCCTGCTCCTAGAACAAGAACTTAAGCCAGCGCGTGTCTGCAGCATCGCAGCATCTGTCATGCAAGAGGACTGGCGTGCTGACGGCTTGGATGAGGTCACCAGTGTAACGATGTACCGAAGTGCTTGTTCTTGCGAGCCACCGCCTTCGGAGTGCCGTGCGCTTTCTGGTGCGTAACTACGCACCTGCGAGAGCTCATCCCGTGCCCCTCTTCCTCGTCGTCGTCCTCCTCTTCTCCCACCTTTCCCACCTTCTCCTCCGGACCCCGTGTCCTCCATCCCGGTGCTCTTCCTCCTCGTCGTCCTCCGCTCCTCCCCCAACTTGCTGGGTTGTCGCCTCAATCGGCGGAGCCGATGCCTCCGCGCACCGTGGAGCAGCTGCCGCCGAGTCGACGAGCGCGTCTGCGGGCTGCCGTCCCGTGCTGGGCAGGCGAGTCTCACCGTTGTCGCGGTTCTGGCCGCCGCGTGAGAGAGACACGTTGGCGTGCCGCGCCGAAACAGCAGTACAAGAACATTGGAGCATCACATAGAAACATTGGAAACATTGGCGTTGCAGCATCACATTGGAAGCAAGAAGTGCTCCCCACATGTGCATCTATTCGCATGGACCTGTCCGCCGCGACTGTCTAGGCGCAAGAGTTTTCGAATACAAGCGGGCTTGAGTTGTGACGGTCTGGTCCTGAATCTAACTGCGAATGAATTGGAGTATGAATGAGTCTCAGTAGTACGAGCGCGTCTCTGCGCATGAGCCTTGGGCCTCCTGGGGCCTCCTGAAACCTCCTGGGGCCTCCAGGAGCCTCTTGGGGCCTCTTGGGGCTTCGAGTGGCTTCCTGAGGCCTCCTGGTGCCTCGCGTGGCCTCCTGGGACATCCTAGGGAGGATTCGTGCCCCAGGAGAGGCCCAATTTGTAAGAACAGACGTACATAAAACATTGCGGATTGGAGCCACAGGAGAGGGGCAATCTATCGGAACACACGTAAAACACCAGGGATTGGTGCCCCAGGGGAGACCCAAACTATATGAAAATACGTAAAACATTTAGGATTGTATACACTGGAGAAGGACAATACATAGAAACATACGTATAACATCAAGGATTCGTGCTCCAGGTGAGGCCCAATCTGTAGGAGCATACGTAAAACACATGGGATTGGAGCCACTCCTGTTGCCTTCTGAGGCCTTCTGCTCCTGGGGCCTCTCGGGGCCTCCTGTTGCCTTCCAGGGCCTCCTGGCGCTTCCTGTGGCCTCCTGCGGCTTCCTGTGGCTTCCTGAGGCTTCCTGGAGCTTCCTGGGGCCTCCTGGAGCCTCTTGGGACATCCTGTGGCCTCTTGAGTCTTCCTGTGGCCTCCTGGGGCCTCCTGGGACCTCATGTGGCCTCCTGGGGCCTCCTGGAGCCTGCTGGGGCCTCCTGTGGCATCCTGGGGAGAATCTGTGCCCACGAGTCTGGCCACCCAAACAGGCAAACCGATCGTGACATCCTCAAAATCTGGCCCCCCTGGGGGGCGAACATGAGCGCCTCGTTCCTAAAAATCTGCTCCGAAAGCGGAGGATGTTGGACATGCAAACAGGCAAACCGCTCGAGACATTCCCGCCACTTGGGCGTGAACGGAGGCCGTGCAATACCCCTGGCGGCCCCCCTTAGGAGGCGCCTCGCTCGATACATCCTCCAATTCTGCTCCGAACGCGGAGGATGTTGGGCATGCAAACAGGCAAACCGCTCGAGACATCCCCGCCATTTTGGCGCGAACGGAGGCCGTGCAATACCCTTGGTCGCCCCCCCTTAGGAATGCAAAAAACAGCAAACCGCTCGAGACCTCCTCATCATCTACTCATCGTCACCATCATCACCACCATCATCATCATCATCATCCTCATCATCGTCGTCGTCATCATCATACTCTTCCATCGTTCGTCATCATTCATCATCGTCATCATGCTCTTGCATCTTCACCATCATCATCTGCAGATTGGGAGGAGGGGAGGGGGGACATCCGGCGCGGTCAGAGAATAACAAGAACCCCATCCTCCGGACATGGGAAAAAAGGTGAGAATGCCACAACCTTTCTCGATTTTACAAGGAACCAGCATTTGGGACGCTTCTTGGGGCCCTACGGCGAAACTGCGGCCAGGCATGGTGCCTGCCAAATTTTCAAGCCATCCAGTGATTGGTGTTTTTTTTTTCTCTGGTGTTTGTATCATCAGGGTTAGCGTGTCAGGAATTATGGTGGTAGACTTGTAGATTTGGGACAGTGTTTCGGGTCAGGGTGTTGGGGTTAGGGCTAGGACTGTATAGCCAGGGTGTTCGGATCAAGGCTGTCACCGTATGGTCCAAACTTAGGGTGCTAGGGTCAGGGGTAATGCTCAGGGCTAGTTTGCCAAGGGGTTTCATGCTTACAGTGCGAAAACTGAAGTGGCATGCTTAGGGTGATGCGGTTAGGGCCACGGTGTTGGAGTCAGGCTGGTACGAGTTGGATTAGGGCGTTAAGTGTTGACTTCGTCCTGGTGTTAGGTTTACCGTGTTACGACCAGGCTGTATGTTTTGCAGGTTTGTTGTTAGTGCTAGGGTATAAACATTTGGGTGTCAGGGTTTGGACTGGTGCTAAGGATTACGGGCAGAAGGGTATGGGCGAGGGTGTCAGTTTGAAGGCGTAAAGGTGTTAGAATGAGGGGTTAAGTGATTAGGGTTAGTGTGCTGGAGTCGGGTCACCAGGGAGAGGACTAGGATGCTGAAGTTAGGGTGTTTGGGCACGGGTGTTTACGCTGAGGTCTGAGGGTCAACGCTACGATGTTACAGTCAGGGCTAATTCTGATGAGAAGGGCTTAAGGGTGTCAGGGTTCGTTTAGGGGTCTAGTGTTTGCGTCAAGGCGGTAGAATCAAGTTGATGTTGTCTGGGATAGGGTTCGTGTTCAGGGTTCGGATGCAGGTTTAGTGTTGGGGTGTCAAGGTGATGGTGTGAGGTCTGGGGTGTTTGGATTGGGGGGCTGAGGTTCGGGTATTCGGGCGTGAGGGTGCTAGAGGTAGGGTGTTAAGGGCAGTGTTACCGATTAGTTAGGACTAGAGCGCACGGGTGCGAACTCCAGGGTCAAGGGTGTCAGGGTCATTGTGGTAGGGCTATAGTGTTACTGCTAGCGACGACCGCGGCATAAGTGCCGCTCGTGGCGGCCTGCGTCGCGGGAGGAAGGGACGGAGGCAGAGGAGAGGAGGTACAGTAGCAGGTGGGAGTATGATAAGGAGTGGCCGTACTAGTTTGGGCATCTTGGCGTGTTCACGCGGGTGCATGCCCAACCGGAACTCACCCAAGCGGAACATTTGGAGCGTGATGCCCATTAGGACCAGGAGGACACGGAGGAGGAGGAGGAGGAGGAGGACGAGAACGGGCAGGGCGGGAGGAGGAGAAAAGCGTCCGCATAAGAAGACGGAGTTACATGTTCAGGAAGAGGTGGGCATTGGATAAGGAAGCAATGGGAGGATGAGGGAGAGGAAAGGGAATAGGAGGAACGATTAGGAGGGGGATGAGGATGATAGAGGATTATCATGGTGATGATGTTGTTGTTGATGATGATGATGGTGATGATGATGGCCATGCTGATGATGATGATGATGATGATGGTGGTGATGGGGAGGACAGAGTGGGACAATGAGGTCGATCATAAAGGTATGTGATGCTGTGATGGTGCTGCTGATGGTGGTGCTGGTGCTGGTGCTGGTGGTGGTGTCGGCGATGCTGATGCTGATGCTGATGATGATGATTATGATGATGGGGATGATGATGATGATACTGATGATGATGATGATGATGATGATGATGATGATGATGATGATGATGAGTAAGCTGAGGATGATCATACTGTTGCTGATGCTGATGCTGTTGATGATGACGATCATGATCATGCCCATGATCATGATGATGATCATCATGATGACCGTGATGATGACGATACTGATGGTGATTATGATGATGATGATGATGAAGATGATGATGATGATGATGATGATGATGATGATGATGATGATGATGATGATGATGATGATACTGATGATGATGATGATGATGGTGATGATGATGATGATGATCATCATCATCATCATAATCAGGATCATGATAAGGCAGAGGAGGAGGAGGAGGAGAAGAAGGAGGAGAAGAAGGATGAGGGCGCGGGGATGAGCAGGGCGAAAGGCGGTGAGAGCGATTGCGAGAACGAACGGTGAGAAGAAAGTGGGGGGAGAGCGGAGGCGGTGAGGGAGGATTGGAGACTCGGATTCAAAGTACCAGGGTGGGAGGGCGGGGAGGACAAAGCACGAGCAGAAGCAGGAAGCAGTGAGCACAATACAAAATGAATTGAAGGGGCTGAGGGGGACGCCGGAGGGCGGAAAGACGAAGAGGGTAGCTGAGATAAAACGCTGAAGCCGGCCAGGCCTTTATACAGGTTGGCGCCCCATCGCCCCTCTTGCTGTTCCACCTCTCCTCCGTTCTCCTCCTCCTCCTCCTCATCATCATCCTTTGACTTGGCCCTGGGTAGCGAGCGAGCGAGGCGAAGGGAATGAGCACTTGGCCAGCGGCGCCGCATCATACGCGCCCAGCCGGCGGAGGCAAGTTGGCTCCGGCATGTGCGGCGGCGACGAGTGGGGCGCGCAGGACGCGCGCCTCCCTGCCGTGCCGCCCCAGGGGGCTCACAATCCCAGACTCCCAATGCATTGGAGACCTCAGCACGGAGGTTCGTCTCAGTTCTCGGCCTCTGGGTGCCATCGCCGGGCCCAGGGACCGTCGAGAAGCGACTCCGATAGTGCACGCTTGTCTGCCCCGACAGAGCAGCACCGTTCAGCGCTAGGCCATCAGGTGTATTGCGATAGCCTCTGCAGCGACGAGTACTGTACCCACAACCGTGGGTGCATACACGACCTTCGTGTTGTGCGTGGGCGTCCCAGTCTTAGCATGCGCGGAGATATCCACTAGTCGAAACTCTCGGTTTGTATTGCAGTTGGCCGCCGTGGCCAGCCCTGGGGAAGGTGTCGGGCTTTCTGGGGACCACGTATGTCGGGCGGGGCTAGGACCAGGATAAATCGTTGCAGAGCATTCTGGGGCGTTCTCAAGGCTTTCTGGAGCGCTCTGGAACGGCTGGGGCGCCCGAAACATCCTCCAGAACCGCCAGACCACAGAGGCCAGATTTATCATGGCCCGATTTTGACCTGGTCCTCGTAGGATTCAGCGAATCAAGATATCGGATGCCTCGCTCGCTCGATCGCTGCCTGACGGCACTCGATCCCGAAGGAATTGCCGATCCCAAGGAAAAGGACAGCACGGCGCCGAGGCACCCCGAGATCTCGCCAGGGGAAAAACGTCAGGCCCACGAGAGCCCTCGAGGGAGGGGGGGGCGCGGAAGAGAGGGGGAGCTTAAGGGGGGGGAACGTGAGTAGGGGAGGTAGGCTCAGGGGGGGAAGTTTCAGAAAGTTGTCGGACGTTGTCGAGACCCAGGGTGGTTTCCACCAGCTGCGCCTTGTAGAGAGCGTGCCAGGGGTGCCAAGATCTTGGCGAACGGCGGCTTGAGACCCGAGCGTCGACCCCGAAAATCAAACGACGAGGATCACTCAGGGGGTATTGGCCTCAGAGGTGGAGCTTCGGCTGGGGCCTGTGTGGTCGTCGTCGTCGCCGTCGCCCTCGAGGACGGCCACCCCGTGGGAGGGGCCCGCCTCCTCCCGGCGGCGAGGCAGTTCGAGCCTCAGCCCAGTAGCCTCTATCAGCCCGCAGCGGCCTGCCCATGGAGCCGGCGGGGGTGCTAATCGGCCACGCGCAGAGGGGGTATGGGGGAGGGTGGAGGGCTTCTTAGACGGAGGCTGCTCCTTAGAAGGCGCGGGCCATATCTATAGCTGTAGGGCCGGCGCCTTCTAAGAAGCAGCCTCTTTCTAAGACGTTTTTCCCCCTCCCCCTACCCCCCTGTGCGCGCCACCATACTGGTTCCAGCCAGCAGGAGGGGGTGGGGGGGCCCAGCCAGCAGGAGGGAGGGGGCAGGTTCAAGGTGCTGGGTTCTACCCTTTTTCGCCTTGTCCGGTCTCTGGAGGCCGTTTTCGGGACCCAGAATCGTCACGAGCGGATCCCAGTGGCGGACAATTACATTAGATGGACCGCAGAAGGTGTCTGGCGACAGATTTTGAATGGATTTGCCGTTCTTGATAAATTTTCTCGGAGCCCGAGCAGCTCGGACCCCCTGGCCGCCTCCAAACCTGGCCTGCGCGCGGGCAGCCGCGCGCCGCAATACTCCGAGCGGCAGGGATCCCGCTCACCAGAATCGGGATGCACCTGGCGCTCCCGAAAGCCATGACCAGCTCGGATGATTCGGACCTTCTCCAGAGACCTCCGAGCACATGAGATCCTTGTTCGCTGCGTGTCGGGCCTCGGTTGCCTCACGGATCGGCTTGGCTCGTGAAATTCGGCGCACGGATGGGTAGAGATTTCTGCTTATGAATTTTCCGACGGTGCGTGTGTGCGCGTGTATGTATGTATGCCCAGCCGAGAGAAAAGAAAGTTTGCCCCGTCGGATCAGGAAGCGAGGCCCTCGGCAAAAATGTCAGCGTCACGACCAATATCACGGGGAGAGCACATTGATCCGACAACATCCCATGCTGGAACAATGAAGCTTGCTGCAGAGGCCTCGAACGCTTGATCGATATCGACCGCCACTGTGCGTAAGCCAACTGTCATAGCCTGCCCACACCGCCTACAGGAGCATGGGGTCCTGGAGTGCTCTAGGCGACCGAAGTCCACCACCATGCCTTGTCTCGCCCTGCTGATGTCAAACACTTCAGTGGATACTGGAGAGGACCCAGCCACTGCGCGAACGCTTCTTGCCATAGTTCGGCATCCGTGAGCCCAGGGTAAGAATACGCTCATGTGTAGAACCAGTCTCCAGTCGCTATGCCCAGTGGCACTGTAGCCTCCAGTCGTCGGCGTAGCACTTGCTTTTGATGGGTGGGGAAAGTCGTCGGCTCAAGCCGTCCTCGCCGTCGGGGGTTATTCCTGAGAAGCCCTGACATGCCCAAGATGCCTCGGGCATTGCTGTTCTGAGGAACCGGGCTGGTATTGCGGTCTGGAGGCTATGTTGTCGCCGTCGCCGCCCCGTCGCCGTCCGTCGTCTGGGCCAGTGTGGCTGTCTGACGGCCATGTTGCCGCCGGCGCCGCCCTGTCGCCGCCTCGTCGCCGCCCGTCGTTTGGGCAGGCGTGGCGGTCAGGCGGCTATGTTGTCGCCGTCGCCGCCCCAGCGCCGCCTCGTCTCCGCTCGTCGTCTGGACAGGTGTGGCGGTCCGGTGGACATGTTGTCGCCGTCGGCGCCTCGTCGCCGCCCACATAGATAGCACACCACAGATTTCGCAACATAGATTGCGCACCATATTGATTCTCCTTTCGAAAACAGAATTTGGATCTACCTCCCCTCCGGACTTAATGGTGCCCTTTGTGCATTGCAATGTACATTCGATTCTGCCCCATCGTCCGTCCGACACAGGAATTCATACCACCCCAAGCAGACCGGCCGGAGTTCACTCGCCGCCTCATCCTTTGTAACAGATACTATTCGCGCGCACTCGGTTATCCGAAATCTTCCGTTTCAAGCATCCTTTGCAAAAGTTAGACGACGTGCACACGCGCGCGTCGTCGCGCGCATGCCGAAATCCGTCAATAAAAAACCTAAGGTTGCGTGAGGATTCCAAAATCGAGTACCCCGAAAACATATAATACACATGGTTTCGCAACACGTGTTTTCAACACTAAAATACGCCCGCGTTCTGGCGATTCCGAATGAAAACATAGGCTTTCAACATGTGCACGACATGCTACCACCTTTGGCCTTTCGCGCGCGCTTGTCGAAATCGCTCGAACACTCTTGCGCGCGTGTTGGGAGGCACGATCCGTTTTACATAAGACCACGCGGGCCACTTGCGTGCGTCGGCCGCGCGCGCACGCCGAACTCCTTCCAAAACCCTCATCACCGACGCGAGGACATCGTCATCGTCACCGGCGGGCGTAATCAATATTGGTGCCGTCATTGGCTTTGCCGTCGTCAGCGCCACCATCGTCACCACCATCGCTATTCGCATCATCGTGTCTACCGTTGTCGGCGTCGCCTTGATACCGCGCCCGCCCATCACCGATTCGCTGAAGTGCCTGCTGAAAGGGCCAAGCGGTCAGCGCCACCGTAGCCAACGCCAAGCATTCATCGAAGTCGCCTGCGCATGGGTTTTGCGAATCAAGTTGCGGGCGGGTGGGTGGAATGTTTGCAAGAGCAGTGGAGTTGACAACTTCAAATCCGGCAGGGTGGATCACACCACATATAGTGCACCACATACATTGCACTGCGTATGTTGCACCACACAGGTTGCACAACAACATAGACTGTACCACATATTTTGCACAGCGCATGCTGCGCCGCATATAGTACTCGTCATAGATTCTCTTTCATAAAAGAACTAGAATAGATTCTACCCCCCCGGAGTTAACAGTACATTTTTCGTATTGCAGTTTACGAATGATTCTGCACACTCGTCCGTCCTAAACATGGATTCATACTATCCCAGCCAGGCCGGTAGAGACCCCCCCGCCATCCTTTGCAAAAGTATTTTGCGCGCGCTCCCGTCTAGCAAAAGTCATAAGTTTTCAAGAATCTCATGCAACAAATTGGACGAGGTACTCACGCGCGCATCGTCGCGCGCGCATGCCGAAACACTTCAAAAGATCTCGGTTTTGGAAGAACTTCAAAATCGAGTTTCCAAGCACACAAAAAACGCAGGGTTTCGCAACATGGATGTTTTAAAAAGCTTACACGCGCGCTCTTGCGAAATCTTAAGCAAACCATAGATCATCAAGATGTTCAAAACAAGATGTCGAAATCGTTCGGTCGGATGCGCGCCTGCCGTCGCGAGAACCCTCTGCAACAGATGGGACGAAGTGCACGCGCGCGCGTCGTCGCGCGCGCATGCCGAAGTCATTCAGGAACCGTCGGTTTCGGAAGGGTTTCAAAATCGGGTGCCCCAAGAACACAAAAACACAAGGTTTCGCAACACGGGTTTTCAACAAAAGCGTGCGTGCGCGCGCTCTTGCATCGTCGTCGTCGTCGTCGTCTTCGCCGTCCTCCCTCCTCCCTCGTCGTCGTCGTCGTCGCAATCGTCGTCCTCTGTCTTTCCTCGTCGTCGTCGTCGTCTTTGGCGTCGTCGTCGTTTCCGTCGTCGTCGTCGCCGTGGTCGTCCTTCCTCCTCCCTCGTCGTCGTCGTCGTCGTCATCCGTCGTCGGCTTCTCGTCGTCGTCGCTCCTATTTCGTCGCCGTCGTCGTCGGCGTCGTAGTCGTCTTCCCTCCTCCCTCGTCGTTGTCGTCGTCGGCGTCGCCGTCCTCCCTCCTTCTTCGTCGTTCGCGTCGTCGCCGTCCTCCTCCCTCGTCGTTGTCGTCGTTGTCGCATTCGTCGTCCTCCCTCCTCCCTCGTCGTCGTCGGCGTCAGCGACGTCGTCGTCGTCGTCGTCTTTGTCGTCGGCGTCGTCGTCGTTGTCATCGTCGGCGTCGACATCGTCGTCGTCGTTCTCGTCGTCGCTGTCGTCGTCGCCGTCGTCGTCGTCACCGTCGTCACCGTCGTCGTCGTCGGCGTCGACGTCGTCGT